ACAGACACCCCTGCACTACCTGTGGGGGAGCCTGTCATGACAGGAGGGAGACGGTGTGATGACATGTGGCCTTCGTGTACTCACCACTCATCTTCTCCATCACCACCCCAACATGCACATTAGGCTCCTTCATGCTCTGTGCTTGCACCACGCCTACATGGGCAAAGCATGTGATCGCCCGCCAGGGTTCACTCCCTACTAACGGGGACTGGAGTTTGCGGTGTTTCCAGACCCCCAAGCTGGGGTGCTGAGGGGCACCTCACGAACCTTCCGCTTGCTGAGTGGCAATGCTTCCAAAGGCTTTCCCTGTCCTATGCCTCAGGCCACGCTTTTACAAAATAGTTTTTCTGTCTCAGTTACCTTCTCTACTGGTCTAATACTCATCTGAACTCCTTGATGGGAACCTGATTTGCTCGGGTTTTCTAGTCACCCACCCTCCTTCTGGAGCGTCACTCCTGTTTCCTCCATCTGCTGTGAATAGCAGTTTCCCCAGAGAGCTAAAGCCTCTGACTCCCTCGCTTCAAAGTCTGGGTGGCAGTGTGTTCACTTCTGCCAATGACTCTGTCCCGCCAGGACCCTTCTCAGGAAGTCTGCTCCCACATTCCTGCTGGAGTGAGCACCAGATCACATTTCCGCAGCCTGAGGAGAACTGGACCAGGGTGGACACCTAACCCAACCTCAGCGACCAGGACTCCTCGTAGGCTCTTATGCCCCTTTAAAGGGCCCAAGAGTGCAATTCCCTGTGGAGTCTGCTATTTGCTTTAGTTCTACAGCTCTAAGTTCACAAGGCAGAGGATGGTAGATGAAGACTCTGCCTGGCAGGGTTCACTATGCTGCACCTGCCCCCTAGTTATACTGGGAATTATAGAACCCTGAGTCCCAGGGGACATTGGGCTCCCTGAGGTGGTCCCAGCATTCTGCCAAGACTAGTTGGGTGCAGAATCCCATTAGCCTTCCAGGCATATACATAGAAAAGGCTGTGCTTGTAGACAGGAAGACCAGTCCACACCTGGGCAGCCCCTGAGGAGGACGTTGAATTTAGAAACTTGCATCTCTGCCAGTCAGGACAGTGCTGCTGATCTTCACTGTGAATTCTGATTAGAGCCTCTGTCTTCTCTTTTCAAAAAGTAAAACTGGATTTAACCAAACGGTGTCTGTGCCTGGCCTTCCCATCAAACCGGTTACAAACTGTTAATGAAGAGGGTGTATACAGCACTACACATGGAGGCGATGGAAACCTGGAGCTATTTCTATGATTCTCCCCAGGGATCATGATGTAGGTCAGCTCCACACCCAGGAGGGTGGGCAGGATGCCAGGGTGGGGCCAGGCAAGCACCATCTTCTCTCGGATAATTCGGTGCAGGGGGCTGTGGTGGGAGTTCTGAGAGTTCTGTCGTCTCCTGAGGCCCTGCAGAAGAGGTGCTCCTGTCCCTGGTTCCCGGGCAGCCTACTCTGGGGGTGTCTGCACAGCTTCCCAGGCCTCTGACACCATGCACAGAACAGGAAGTGGGATTGGCTGACCTTTGAGTGTGCAGTGAAGCCATCCAGAATCCCTGACAAAGAAATGGGTTTTTGAACTCCTTGGCTTTGAAGACTCCATCTGCCACCTGTCCTGGCAAGGTCAGGGTAATTTGGACGCAGCCCTGAGCAGGTTGCCAGATCTCTGCAGGGATCAGGGTTGAGTCCTAACTTAGTCCCTCAGCCCCTGGCAGTAAGAGCTTCTGCCAGGGCAGCCTCCCTTTACACTACATCCTAATCCCAACTATCCCATATTCTCTCTTTTCCCTTTCTCTCTCTCTCTCTCTCATTCAAACACACATGCTTATGTACACACACACACACACACACACACACACACACACGAGAACTGGGACTTAATTACTGTTTTTGTTTTAAAGCAGAAATTTAAAGGAAAAGGGTATAACAGCAACTTATCCTTATGGATGAAGAAGAAAGGAGAAGGAATAGAAACTATGTATGTGCATCTACGTCCAGCAAAGTTGCAAATGACCCCTCCCCGTAATCTGACGTAACAGCTTGTGGGGGTGCATGGGGCAGGGGATTTCTTCCCTTCCTGTGATCCTCCATGACAGACATTATGGATGATGTTTCTTTATGTGACAGTCACATGAGGACACACAGTACTCACTCAGAGCATGGGACACACACAATAATGACTATAACTGAGGGCTTTCCTGAGCATTTATTATGTGTTGGCCACCGTGCTTCACATACATTAGATGGTTGAAACCTCACTACCACCCTGTGTGATAGGCGCTGTGGTGGCCCCTTGACAGAGGAGAAAACTCACACTCAGGAGGGGAAAACTTGCGAGTGGCAGCAGGGAGGGACTCGAATCTGCTGGGTCTGTCCAACTCCACAGTGAGTGCGTATCCAACCGCCCTGCCTCCAGCCTCCTCCACCCTCACGGCTGTTAGCGAAGTGCAGTGACCGCTCTGATACTGCCTTTCATCTCCTCTGGTACCAATGCCCCAATTCTGCTAGTTGCACACTTATTTTTGAAAGTATCACTTCCTCCCTCAGGATGGATCTGGAGCCCTGGGTATGTGCTTCAAAGAGCAGAAGGCCACAGGGCAGGGACAGCCTCCCTCAGCCCGCCCTTCGTGGAAGGGCACAGGCGTTTCATTTCCTAGGTTCCGCTGCAACAGTTGAGAAGTAATCATCGTGTTAGCTGAAGTTATTTTAGCTGCTGGAACAATCGACTCCCAAGGTTCAGTGGGTTAACCCTAAAAACATTCATTTCTCACTTACATAACCGTCAAACACAGATTTGCAAAAAGCTAAGTGCTTAGGGTTAAGGAGTATCTCCCAGTGACCAAAGTCACACAGCGTCTTTTCCTTGGCAGAGAAGGAAGCTTCTAAGGTCCGCTGTCTACACGCCCCTTTGTGTTCCATGCAGGCACAGCTGCCCAGGGCCCCTGGTGCACGCGCCTCCTTGTGTCACTCCCTGGCAAGGTCACTGAGAAAGAAATGCTTGCACACTGAATCAGGGCTCACGTCTCAGCCCACACCACACCCCTTTTCCTTATCCTTTTCCATGTCCTGTGTCTTGAGAAGCAGAGAGCTTTGCCACTCTTTGACACTCCAAATTACAAAAAAGAATTAAAGTCAACAGTGACTTACTAAGGCTGCAAAAAGTCTACCACAATTGCCCTAACTGCCATGGCTAGTAACAGGCATAGGCAGTTCACTGAGCCCACAGGTGGACTCCTTGGAGACCCACACCAGGAGCTGAAGAGCTGAGGTGCCATTCGGTCAGCATTAGTTCTCCGGCTACGTCTCAGGTGCCTCACAGAACCTGCAGGGCTCCTGTGGGGCTTAATTTGAGTCCAAGAAAGAAAGAGTCTTGGTTTCTATGGCCCAGGGGCAGAGGTGTCCTCCTGGACCTGCAAATCAGAGGGTGGGGGGGGCCCTAGGCTCCTCCTGAATACCCTGAAGCTTAGAATCAATTCATAAACCCTGTCCTGTTCTTGTCCTGCCTCGGGGGCACCATCTCCAACAAAGGAAGACTGTTCCTCTGTCCCCAGGCCAGATAGGGGGCCCCTCTGCCTCTCTACACTGACTGCACGTGGACTTCCACAGACTGACCTGACTGTGCCCGGCAGCAGTACCCACACTGAGTGAGGCTCTGGCATGGGGCGGGGGGCGGGGGTCCTCTCAGGCTGGCTTTGATGGGGGGCAGAGCTGTCTGAGCTGGGACGGTAAGAGAAAATTTTCTGCCTGAAACCCATATTCCCTGGAGCTCCTATTCCCAGGGGCTCAGTTCTCTTCGCCTACCAGGGGCAGGAGGAAGAACTGCTTCGTGGACAATCTCACCTAAGCATGACCAACACTTTCCGGCTTTGTCCTTCTGCAGCACTGGATGTGGGTGGTAATGATTATGAGTGTGCACTTCGATGAGTAGTTTACACGCCATACTCTGTCTCTCTTATGGTGTATGAGCTCTTCCGTGGAAGGAAGGGATGGCATTTGACTCTAAATGTTACCAAGTGAGTGCAATTTATTTTTGAGAGGGTGAATTAGTACATAAATAAAGAGTGAGTCAATGAGCAAAGAGGAATGGGAGAGTAAAAGAGAAGTAAATCATGAGGAGCGAGAGAATGAATGAGGGTACGAGAGGCAGTCACTGCCTCTTCTCTGCAAACAAAACCCTAGTTTTTAATTGGGCACATTTTCACCTAACAAAAAAATACATTTCCTACATGTCTATGTGACTAAGTTCCATGACAAAATTAACTGTAAGTGCCAAGGTTTCCTTGATGAGACATCAAGGAAAATCCTTGGAAAAGGAATGTGTGTGCTTTTGGCCACCTTGCTATGGCAAAGAGGATATGTGATGGCTAGAGCTTGGCAGCCATCATGTACAATGAGTAGACCTCAAAAAAAAAAAAAAAAGCCACACTAGGTCAGTGAAGTAGAAGTCTAGGTCTCTGTTGGTCACAGAATCACTATAACAATCTAGACTACCTTCCTCTGGACCTTTATTACGGAAGACAGAAATAAATTTTCATTTCACTGGTTTTGTGGTCTGTTGTTTCTTAAGATTTTTATCACGTGTAGTTGAATCTGATACTAACCAACTTGTTCAGAATCACAAGTTCATGATAAAGTCAGTCCTAGCATCCAGGTCTCCTCTTTCCCAGTCTCAAGTTCTTTCTGACGCCCATCATAAGTCACTATATGATGGTCTGAAAATGTCACAGTCACCCAGAACCCGCAGATGCCTTTCAAATGTCAACCCAAAGCTGTAATGCAGAGTCAGAGAATCCTGACCTTTTATTAAAGACGATCAAAGTGAGGGATGGCCTCTGATCTGTGCTCAAAACCCACCTGGTGGGTGGAGATCACAGACTCAGCCTCCGATTGAATGCCATTCCTAATAGCCCAGGAAAGTACACTGGAGGTTTTGGTGGCTCCTCTATTTCAACGGCCAAGCATTCCTGCTTCCACACAGCGGAGCATGTGGGCGGGGGTCTTACCTCCACCAGGGAATGCCAGTGTGCGATGGGCTTCCGAGGATACGACAACATTTCACTCCAGTGGTCTCTGCCCAGCCTCTCGGCTTTGTTGCCTACTTGACACACGCCGATGATCTCATTGTGACCTATACTGTGAAAATGGCCCACAATAGTTTTTTCTTAAAGTTGTGGCATGTAAGAACAGCAACTACTCAATGAAACCAATAAAGGAATTAGGGGAAGGGTGGTTCTTCTTATTCACTAATTTAAAACCAGATGCTGGGTTTAACAGAATAGGAATTGGGATCCAATACTGTGCTCACGGGCACAGAGAAGAAGAGCAGAGTCTGGCCCTCACGCACCTAGGCTTTTGAAACAAGAACGATGTGGCATGCCTTAGCTTGTTCCCCAGAACCCCATGCTTGAAAAGCTCCCTGACGTATGCTAAGGACGCCACCTCTGTCTGGTTTTGGAGCTAGGTGGACCTCCTGGCCTCCAAGTCCATGGAATGAAAGGGGGCCACCTGAAAGGAGTTTCTTGCAACAACAGTTGCTCAAATTCCTGCAAGAGGCAACCAAATACTGAGAGGGGGCAGTTCTGTGTCTGCCAGCCACAGCCTTGAACTCACAAAGTGGGCAGAGTCGAGGAGGCTCCAGGGTCTTCCTGCTTCCCCTCTCTTTCTCGAATATGTTTTCTTATGCTCTATCCTTCTTCCTCCCAAACCCAGCTTTGCTTCTTGGACCTGATTTAATTTCCTTACTGTAAAAAGATTCTGAGCTCCTTTAACTTTAGGGCTAATGTTTCTGAAACATTCCCTGGGTAGGTCCCTGCCTTAGCCCATTTTTTTCCCTCAGCAGATTTTGGTGAGAAATGCTTTGCATAACTAGAATAACATGGCCCATCCTTTAACTCTTAGGGAGCCAAACACACAGACTTTTTCTCTCCTTTTTTCTTCCTGTTTGTGGAGGGGGAGACGAGCTGGGGCAGTGGGGTGGAGGGCATCTGAGTCTATGCTCACTGAAATCCGTTGCATGCAGAAGCTCTGTGGATTCTGCCATGTAGTTTTCCAGGCCAGATTCACGAGTTCACTGAGAATTACACCGAGCAGAGCTCACATAATCAGGTTTGTCAATGCGGGAAACTTGGCAACGTCATGAAAAATGCTGGCTTAGCTTTCCACGGTTGGTGGGCAGCATCCCCCACTGTGGCCTGACACTACTGGTGTTGTGTGCTGTCCAGCAGAGGTGGGCGGAGGTCTACTGACCGGCAAGACCTGGTGCACCCCCGTGTAGCTCAGCCCCCCTGCGCCCCTAGGGTGGCAGATGCCTAGGCTCCACCCAGGATCCACTGGAAAGAGTGTTCAGGGCACTGCAGCTGCTTTACTGACATTTCGGGGGCACGTGGGAAAATTTTTAGCTACAAATAATATTTGGAAGATTGTATTAGAAGTCAGAATGATTTCTTTCAAAACTGTGCCCAGACCACGTGGGAGGTTTCCAATTAAAAAGAGACTTTTCATTTCAGTCTAATGACTGGTTTAACATATATAATTCCCTGTTGGTACTTCCTTTGCATATTAAAGTGACTGTTTTTCAAATCTGTTCTTTAAATACACACTTGGCTACAATGTAGGCTATAAATATCTCTTCTGTGCTGTATTAATTAGAAAGTCGAGCATCTTATACATTTTAATGCACCCTGTCACCCATACTGATTCTAGCATTTTCAAGAGAACACTTCTGTGTTTGCTTTCAGACTTAAGTGGATGGAAATGATCTTTATTAAACACACTGGGAGAAGGGAAAAAATAATGTAGTTATGGACTTGGAAATGTGGGCGGTCTGGCTAAAGTAATCACTCTGCTGTTTTGAGTGGCACCTTCCCACGAAGGCCAGGCAGGATCGCCCAAGAGGAGATCCAGACCTGTGGGGCCACAGTTCTCTGGCTGAGGTTCTAGGGGGTGTGCAGGGGTGGAGAGGGGAAGAGGTGGGGGTCGGGAAGGATAGAGAAGGGGAAAAGGACTGAAGAGGGGGAGGAAAGAATGCGAGAGCTAGAGGCACTTTCATAACCCGGCTCTACAGCTGGGTTTGGACTCCCTGCCAATCAGCTTTCCACGGGCTGCTCACTGGAGTCACTGCCTGCTACGGGGACACCAGCTAAGTATCTGTGACCACACCGCCTCCCCCTTCCTTGCTGGGAACACAAAGGACTTGCACTGAGAAAGACCTCCAGGTATCTCACCGGTCGTAGTCCATGACCGCTATGGACAAGTGGATTTGGTCAATGTTGTCGGGAGGGACATCAAAGACTATGGCTTCATTGTAAACAGGATTCAGGGTGTTCCTCTTGGTGGACGTTTTCCTCTTCTTCAGCCGTCTGCCATCGCACATCAGGGAGACCTTCACGTAGGGATCTGCAGAGACCACGAGAAGCAGGGGTATGTGAGGATGCACGCGGACTCAGGCCGGCAGTTTCCTCGCTGTGGAGGTTCATGGACCGCATGCGGAACTCCTTTACCTGCCTGCCAACTGGAGTTGGAGGATTTTAATTAATATGATGCCCGGGCAGTGACTAGAGTTAGGATAATTGAGTCTTTCATTCACGAAAAAGCACAGGACACTGTCTCCTCAGAATGTGTGAAATTTAAAAATAGTGTGAAAAAACACCTGTTACCAAATTAGAAACCGTTCCAGCTAGAATTCAGGCCTGCCTGGCAGTGTGACAGGAAAGGAAATGCAGAGGCACTTTCGAAGCGAGGAGACTCGGGCTGCAGGCCCTGACTCTGAGGCTCTCGGGACAGTCGTCTCCTAGACATCAGGTCTGCAGGAGAGGGAGAATTTCAGGGGTGGATTTCCTAGGTGCAGGGGCCGTAAGCCCCCAGAGCTCCCTTCAGTCAGGCTGCAAAGAGGCAAGCAGTTCAGCACGTCAGGAAGAGCAAGGACACGGGCTTGTGTGGGTGCGACGCTGGGATGGGGCGACAGGTGATAAGGCTGGTTTCTGCCTCAGGTGGGACTTCCCTCATTCCCCCTCACTACCCTACTGCTCAGTGGGGAGTTCTTCTCTCTTCACCTGCATAACAGTGCGTTGCCCTGACTCCCATACACCGTCCAGGAGGGATTTGGCCAGAAGGGGCCACCTCTTCTTTCTGCCTGGAAAACCACTGCAGTACTGGCAGCAGAAAGCGATGTGTCTGACATCCTCTGACTTCAGCAGTGAGCAGCCTGTGGACTGGGTACGTTACAGCCACATTTCAGGAGCCCCTACAGAGGCTGCTTGTGAAGCTGCATATTAGGAACTGCATACTGAGACTTTTTTTAGGGTTTAGAATTTAAGGTACATGTTTGATTTACTGGAAAAACCAAACTGCATAGTTCACTAATGAGCCTTTCATAAGGACATAGGATTCCTCAATCTTTAGCAAGCCTGAGACAATAATTGTTGTATCTGAGGAAAGACTCAAAAGGATAAGCTGTATCATCCTATGTTAACTGCAGACCGAGTTCACAATTATGGTGAAGAAGACTTAGAATAATAACAATGATGATAGCTAATGACAAATAGCATTTAGTGTGTACCAGGCATATTCTTATGGTTTGTTATGTATTAACTCATTTAATCTTATAACAACCCAACAGAGCCAGTTACTATTATTACCCTCATTGTACAGATGGGGAATCTGAAGCCCATACAGGGTAAGTGACTTGCCCAAGGTCACATAGCTATTAGGTCTAAGACAGGGATTAAACTCAGGTAGTTTGGTTCCAGAGTCCATGTGTTTATTACTGTACTAGAAACTTCATAAGATACAACAGAGCTGTGTGAGAAAGTCTGAACTAGAATGTCCCACCTGATGCTCCTGTTATGTCCATCGCCTTTAGATTCCTTGCTTTGATGACAGTGATGGTCAGCCTGCCAGCCGTTGGCAGGTAGCAGAGGGAAAACATCAGCTCTCCAAGATCCACGTTGTCCTGTTGAGAAAGCACAAACTGAAGCATGAGGAAGCGTCTTCAGCCTGGTGTGCGAAAGGACCGGCTGCCACTGGTCTCTCTGTGCGGCTCGCAAATCCCTGGGGCCTCTCACCTACACTTCGGGAACCCTTTGCTGCAAGGAAGCCCAGCCCACCTTCAAATGGCAAAGCTGTGGAGGCCACCCAGAGCCTCTGCCACCTTCTACCCAGCCACGTGCAGCCCTGCACAGCCTCACCCAAGTTCCTGTGGTCCAACAAGTAGCCCCCAGAGCAGTAGCCCCCACAGCATTAACTATTCTGCATGGAGTCCCCCATGTGGGTCCATTCATATCGCCATCACCACCCACACAGAGCCCGCAGGGTACAGCTACCCCGAGAGGCACTATGGCACTGTGCAACCCCAAACCCAGCCCTGCACACATGCGTGCTCTGTGCACAGCCCAATGCAGCCTCATGCAGCCTCTCACCGGTCCCCACTCAGCTCCCGGGGACTGTCCCACTCCTGTTTCCTACATGGCCTCCCAGTTTCCCCCAGAGGCCTCACATAGGCCCACGAAGTCCTCCAAATAGCCACCATCCATATGCACCCTTGCCCCACACACTCTGCTACACAGTACACCCCAAGTTCGCCACTATACCCCTGTATACTCCTGCAAACATGCCCACACCCCAACACACACACACACACACACACACACACACACACTCCTCCACCCACCAGAGCACTGCACACATCGAGTCCCTATGTGGCCTTGAACAAGGACCCTTCAGAAGCCCCAGTAACCCCACACAGCACAGCCCCGGACACATGGGCCTCAGACAGCCCTGAGCAGTCTCCATGCAGGGAGCGATGGCTGAGACCTGGGACCCAGACCCCACAGGCCCCTATGGCCGGTCTTGGGGACTCTCACTTCGCTGCAGGGCTTGCCATCTCTTGGTGTGTCTCTAAGGAGCCCCCATTTCCCTCTGTGGGGGAAGACATCTCCTCGGGCAGTACACAGCCATTCAAATAAGTCAGAAGACATGCTGACATGTTTGTCTTTCTCATTTTTAGCCCAGGGAGAGTGTAACCAGAAAGGAAAATAAAGAAGCCTGTTCATTTATCTTCAATTTCTGTGATACCTGAGGTTACCGAGCTGGGTGCACGTGTCTAATTAAAACAATTTCATACTGGCAAAGCTCTGGGGAGTTTGGTCTTTGCCCTCAACATCCACAGCCTCCCCTCCCCTTCTCAATTCTCCAAGGATGCTTCTATTTTTGGAAGCACAGAATCAGCTCTGGAAGGTCACCTCGCCCAACCTCCCAGCCTTGACTGCTTCTGCTGGGGGATGAGGTGCAGGGAATCTGTTTGGTCACTAAGGCAGATGGATTGCTCTGTATCTTCATGCACCGCTGGCTTCATGTAAATAAATGACCTCACATTGCAAACCAGGCTCTCCTGGAACCCTGACCTCAGGAGATGCAGGTGGCTGGGCCTGTCCCTCTGGGGCAGAGGTGAGGAGGAGGGATGAGAATTCTACAGGAGTGGGGGTGTCACACAGGCAGGCGCTGGCCTGCTTGTGTGCTACTGGGTTCTGCACTGCAGGCAGAGTGTCTGTCTCACTGAAGAGGGAGGATCTGACCCAGCTGCCTGCTGGTGGCACAGAAGAGAAGCAACAGCTGTCCCCACAAATTATCTTTTTCCTCCCTTACTCCCTGGCCTATTCCTTTGCTCTCTGTCTGCCTTAAGTAGAAAGGTCCAGATTCCTGGCCCAGACACAGTTCTCCCCTCAGTGGGCCCCAATGCATCTAGCCCACTCCTCTCCTCTCCCGCACAGAAAACCTAGGTTACGCAAAGTGGAATGGGAGTGACCAAAATCATGCCTATGGAGCTCCACTGCCACCCGCCTTTTCAGCATACAATCCCCAAAGGCCCACACTGCACACGTCTACAGGGTCATGATGTGGCACCTCAGGGCCACTACACAGAACTGAATGTAGTATGCCAGGTTACTTTTGTGCTAAGCACATTTTTGTCCAACATAAACTCCATTCACAAATATTTATATTATATGACTATTTGCTCATGAGTAAAAAGAAAAAAATCAGAGCTTCAGACTTGGTAATACTTCAGAAGGAGAACTAGGGCTAATGTCCACATTTGTACTCGAAAAAATTCAGCAAGTTAATGAAATAGGTATCAAGGAGAAAATGCCTGCTTTGATTTCCAGGTGCTTTACAAATAAATCATTAAACAATTTCTATGTTGTGAGAGTAAAAATAATAAAATTTAAATGCAGAAATTTTTAAGTAAAAAGTAAAACATTCCCTTTTTTATGTATATACCACCTATATTACTCATTTCTGCAGAGTAACACTGTGGATAATCATCCATATTTTTCTTTATATCTCTCCATACATACATACATAAATCCATCCATCTATCCATCCATCCACTCACTCATTGTGTTAACATTTGCTGTGGTTGTGGTTGTTGAGCATCACTTTTTGTCAGGAACCCGGAGCTGTATTTACAGTGGAGAAGAACAGACACGGTCCCTTGATGAGAGGTAGACTTGCTAGGAGAGGGAACAGGAGTTGGTGGCACCTAGTGCTCACTTTGCTTTCTCCCTGTCAGCTGATGCTAATTAGAGGTCAAGAAGCTACAGATTCTGATGTTTGTAAACATTCCCTTAAACCAGTGGTTCTCAACCGCGAGCAATTGTGCTTCCCCAGGGGACATTTGCTACCAGCTGGAGAAATATCTGGTTGTCAAAACTGGGGACGTGAATATCTTACTGACATCTAGTGGGTCAAGTCCAGGGATGCTGCTAAACATCCTGTAATATGCAGGACAGTCCTCCACGACATAGAAAAATCTGGTTCAAATGTTAGTGGTCCCAAAGTTGAGAAACTCTGCATTATACATGCTGAAGTGTCCATGTTACTAGTCAAAAATTTTCCAGAATGCTGATAAAAGTCAAACATAAGAGGGTAGTGAAGCACTTGATTTCTTTTCAGCTTGACAGGATCCAAATAGCAGACGTGTCACTGGTGGCTGAGTGCCCTAGGGGGTGGGGGGTGGGGTCCAAGGGGGAAGGAAAATGTCACACAGAGAAATGCTTCATTTGCTCTTGCTTTGTGTGGCCAATTTCAGTACCATTGGCAAGATATATGGGGAATGCATAGCAACTATGTGTGAATTCTCCACCTGCCAATCTGTAAATTCTTTCAGTGATATGCTTGCCTGTAATGGGCTGTGATAGCTCTAGTTTTTGTCTAACCTGGACACTTTTGCATTCCTCTTGCTAGATTCTATTGGCGGGCTCTCTCTCAATTCCATAAAGTTCTAGGAGGGCTGCCACAGGAATCCAGGCTCACCAAAATATTTATGTCACAATCTACTGTTGTCTGTTCAGGGTGAGTTGTGTGGCCCAAGCAGAGCCATGTGGAGTCCTCTCCGAGACTGGAAAATCAATACTGAGAAATTCTCATTCCACTTGGGTATTCACTAGGAGGGGATGAAACCAGAACTGTTGTAAGGTTCCTGTAATATATAGTAAAAGTGGTACAATATAACTTCAAGTTAGGATGTTCATGTTAAAGATGTGTACTATGAACCCGAAAGAAATGACTAAAATAATACAAGGATTTATAGTTAATAAGCTAAGAAAGGAGATATAATGAATGCTTTAAAATATTAAATTAATCCAAAAGAAGGAAGAAAGAATGGAAAGGAATAAGATCAGAAGAGATAATTCTCAAAGAAATAAAAAAAAATAGTACAAGGGTAAATTTAAACCTATTTTAATAATTATATTAATGTAAATAATACAAGCATCCAAATAAAAGGCAAAGATTGTCTGATTCAATAAAAAGCGGCATCCAATTTTATGCTCTCTACAAAAAGTTTCCTTTAACTATAAAAGTAAAGTAATAGGTTCTGGTTGGGTGCTCAGGTGGTCTGAGTGTCGTCCTGATACACCAAGATTAAGGATTTGACCCCCAGTCAGGTACATACAAGAATCAACCAATGAATGCATAAATAAGTAAAATAGCAAACTGATGTGTTTTTTTTCTCTCTCTCTCAAAAAAAGTCAACCAATAGAAAGATATAAAAAAGATATGTCACACTAACACTAATAAAAAGAAATCAGGAATAGCTAAATTAATACCAGATAAAGTATATGTCAGAGCAATGAATATTATCAGGGACAAACAGGGTGATTTAATTATGACAAAAGGTTCAATTCATCAAAAGCACATAACTCTAAACATCCACTACACACCTTCAAAATACATATTTATCCTTGTGAGAATACACAAGTTATAGTAATAAATTTGAATACCTGTACAACACTACCAACTGTCTGGTAGCAACAAACAAACAAACAAAAAAACAAAAAACACCCCACAACCAAAAACAAAACAAAAAAACAAAAACAACCCCCCCCAAACACTCTACCAATTAACAGTAGAATACCCATTCTTACCAAGTGCACCCAGAACACTAAGCAAGATAGACCATATCCTGGGCTATTAAACAACTCTCAATTAAATTTGAGAAGATTCAAAGCATATTTTCTGGCTGTAATAAAAATGAATTAGAGATCAAATGATTTAGAAATAACAAAGAGTTATCTGGAAAATCTCCAAATACTTGAGAACTAAATAACTCACTTGTAAATAATCCATGGATCAAAGAAGAAATCAAATGAGAAATTAGAAAGTATTTTAACCTGAATTGATATGAAAACCCAACATATTAAAGTTTGTGGAATACAGCCCTAAAAGGAGATTTATCACACTAATATGTCTATATTACACAAGAAAAACACTCTCAAGTCAATGACCTCAGCTTCTACCATAGGAAACCAAAAAATAAAAATAAATGAAAAGCAAAGTAATCAGAAGAATGGAAATAATAAAGATTAGATAAAATAACATAAGGATGTATACTTTAAAGAATCGAGTAACCCCTAAAGAACTAATAGGTGTATGTTCTTCACCAAGCTAGTATTG